GAAACAGGTGGGGGGGGGGAATATAAATCACATTAACATCCAAGCCAGAGTGATAAGCGCAAACTGATGTACAGAAGTGCACCCAAGATTAGTCCTGAAAGGAAAAGAGGCAGCTGAATTTATTTGCACCTGAGCAGGTAGTCCTCGACTTGAGAGCACAATTGAGCCCAACGTTTTGGTTGCTAAGTGAGGCATTTGTTCCCCAGCTGGTTTTAAAGAGGATTTAATCTTGTGGGGATATGAGGAAGCCTTGCTCAGATTAATCAAGCTATCCCAGGACTGTAATTCCCTTCTTTTTCACCTTATAAGAGGCCAGAAGAGTTTAAGGTGGACCACTCTAGAACAAGGGGGCTAATTCAAGTGTATACTGATAGGCCTTGACTTATGACCACTGCTAGCCCAAAATTTCTGTTGCTAAGTGAGGCAGTGGTTAAGTGAGTTTTGCCCCCATTTTATGACCTTTGTTGCCCCAGTTGTAAAGGGAGTCACTTCGATTTAGCAACACAGTTCTTCATTGAATCTAGCTTCCCCACTGACTTTCATGACACTGCAGCCATCATAAATATGATGTCAACTCATAAAATATTTCTATGGTCTTTTAAAGTTGCCAACAGAAAGGGAGGGGGGAGCAGTGCGGCAGCTTGCAAACCGAAAGTGCATTCCATCAATGTTTTCAAAGATAGTAACTAGGTGACTGAAGTTTCTGCCGTGCAAAATTCTAACTGGAGAGCATGATTGATGACTCTTGGCTATGGATGTGTCCCATTGGAGAATATAAATTATGATACACCTAGGGGGTGGGGGGGAAACCAGGGTCAAGGGTGACAATGAATGATGTGTCTCAGAGTCAGCTACACCCAGGCAGCACCGGCATGTTTACTCCTAACAAATCTTCTTTAAGTTTTGGAAGTTGGCTCGAGACTCATGATTTAAATGGGGGTAATTGCCAGAGCCCTGACATATGACTCAGTTGCCAAGACTCTGAATTTTGATTAGATGACCATAGGGATGCTGCAGTGGTCAGAAGTGTGAAAAACAGCCGTAAGTCACTTTTTTCAGGGCCGTTGTAACTTTGGACGGTCACTAAATGAACTGCTGCAAACCCAAACCTGCATTCCTTTTGTATTACAAGGGACAAATATGTGTAATCCAGCCACCGCACCAATATTTATAGAGCTAATTTATTTCTTTGGGATTGCCAATGAAACCTCAAACTCAAGAGAGTGTGAAGCACCTCTTTAATTTGGAACAGCCACATAAATAACTAAGAGGAGCAATTTCATTTCTATTCTGGGAAACAGGATAATACGATAACTTCAGCATGTTTATGAAGTCCTGCCTTCCTATGCGGTCAGAGAAATGTTTCATCTGCTACGCTTCTGGCACTCTTTTGACATTGAAGAATTCAAGGAAAATTCCCATTAACGGTTTTGCCTATCATCATCATCCGATTCAAATCATTCTTATTGTCCTGCAGAAAAGGAGACCATTTCTTGTGCTTTCATTTGGGATCTTCGATGCCAAAATACGAGCTTATGAAAGAGAAGGGGAAAAAGAAGAGAAGAAGAAGAAAAAATTTGGGAGGGACGAAATAAAATAGGGAAGGAATCGTTCTGTTGATCCAAAACAAAAGGGATAAAAAAGCTAAATAGCAATTAGCTTTTTTATTTACCCTAATACTATTGTACTGAGATGTATCAAAATCTCAGAGTTAAGCTTTCCAAAGAACAGAACTCCTTATTGGCTTCGGCATATTCCAGAAAAACCAGTAAGATAACAGAAATGAGCAAGATGTTTAATGGGATGAATAATGGAAAGTCGATTCCCAATGCCACAAGGATCCAGATGGCAAACTCTTTGGAATCCTTTTTAAGTTAGGGGAGTTTGTGTCTTCACCAGAAGGTGCTAAAGTACATTCTCGACTTACAACCACAATTGCACCCAAAATTTCTGTTGCTAAGTGAGTGTCAGGGCTCCGACAATACGCACCCATTCAAATCATAAGTCTCTAGTTGCATCTCTCGGAGTAAAAAAATTGATTTATTAGGAGTGACCATGTCGGCATTACCTGGATGCAACTGACACTAAGACACATCATTCATTTCACCCTTGACCCTGGTCTTCCCCCCACCCCCTGGATGTATATTCTCCAATGGGACACATCCATAGCCAAGAGTCATCAATCTTGCTCTCCAGTAATAATCTTGCATGCCAACAGCTTCGGCTGTTGGAGCAATTATCTGAAGCATTTAAGGAATGCCCTACTCTTCCCACTCCCTTTCTGCTGGCAACTAAAAAGACCAAAGAAGTATTTTTTTAGTGGACAGTGAGACAGTTAAATGAGTTTTCCCCATTTTATGACCTTTCTAGCCACAGTTGTCAAGTGAGTCGCTGCAGTTGTTATGTTAGTAACGTGGTTGTTAAGTGAACCTGGTTTTCCCATGGATTTTGTTTGTCAGAAAGTCGCAAAAGGGGATCACATGACCCTGAGTCACTGCAACCGTCATAAATAGGAGTCAGTTGCCAAGCGCCTGAATTTTGATCCCGTGACTATAGGGATGCTCCAATGGCCGTGTGAAAAATGAGCATAAGTCACTTTTTTCAGTGTTGCTATAGCTTCCAACAATCGCTAAATGAATTGTTGTAAGCCAAGGACTCCCTGTAGATAAATGTTTAGTCTTCCTAACTAGACTATCCCAAAAGTTCTTTTTTCCAGAGGCAACTGGACTTCCTGGTTTTTCTTTGAAGAGGTTTCGCTTCTCATCCAAGAAGCTTTTTCAGTTCCAACTGGATGGTGGGGAAGGAAAAGATCTATACTCCTTGCAGGCACCTGGTCATTTGCATTCTTCTTTTTTTAAAACTAGAAAAGTCCAATTGCCTTTTGAAAAAGCACCTTTGGGGCAACCATGACCTGGGTGACTGAGAATCTCCATAGACAGATAACTAGAATAGCTTTTCGGCTTTCTTGAGAGGATGTGGAATGCAGCCAACCAAAAGCATTTTTAAATGACATCCTAAAGGACTTAGAAACAGCTATTGATCTTTTTTGTTAAGGGAAAAGGACGCCCTCCAACCATTGTGGTAGTCTGCTAGCAGGTCATTTAAAATTAACATCTGAATTATAGAAAAATATAGATTTCTTTCTTCCATGTTTCTATCTAGAGAGAGAGAGAGAAAGAGAGAGAGAAAGAGAAAGAATGAGAAAGAGAAAGAGAGAGAATGAGAAAGGGAGAGAGAGAGAATGAGAAAGAGAGAGAATGAGAAAGAGAGAATGAGAAAGAGAGAGAAAGAGAAAGAGAGAGAATGAGAAAGGGAGAAAGAGAGAGAGAGAGAGGGAAGAGAGAGAGAGAGAGAGAGAGAGAAAGGAAAAAACAATCCAATGATTGCTAAAGGCAGAATCAAACTGGTTTTACAGTTTCAAGAATCCCTACTTTACACATTGGTGCTATCGGTCATCTCTTACATTCTATCAAGGCATTGAAACCTCATGATTTAGCAAGCTCTGAACTTGCTCACAGCCTTAAGATGTATCCAGTTACAAAATCATATGAAAATCCATCAACACACATAATATGCTAGGGCATATTTTAATCACAAGCTATTGAATAAAACCACCCTTGGCTGATTTCACACAACACATTAACCTAGAACCAAAGGGGAGGAAAAAATAAACCAGCAAACCAACTTAAACCAGTATCGAGACCTATAGACCTCCAACTCTGATTTAAGTAGTTCGTCTGAGCTATAGAGCAATACCCTAACCCACTTGGCAAGAAATATTCACGTTATTATCGCAAGTGTTAAATCTGGCATTCAGACCACTTATTGCCCAGTTAAACTCAACACAACTGTCTTTGCCTAGGTGTAAAAAGACATCCATGATGAAAAAGCAGAACTATGCCCGAATCATTCATATCCATGTGCCCAATTCAAGATTTAGCAGCAACATACAAGAGAGAGAGCTCAGCTTCGGAGTTAAACAGAACAGGCAACACCCCATCTCGATGTCTCCAAACCCCGCCCCACCTCAAATCTTCCCAAATGAGAAGCAACTACAACTCTACTTAAAGCACACAAATGTGTGCAACATGGCTAAAGCCTACCTTCACGTCAACTGCAGCAAGAATTAAAACTGAAGCGAAAATTGCCTTATGGCTGGACGGGATGCTGGTTGTGAATTTAAAGATCAGATCACCCATCCCACTAAGTTACAGTTGGTTGAGCCTGGACGGTAAGTTCTGCCATAAACCGCAGGTTACCAAATGACAAACAACCTGGGTTGCAAGCCGTATTAAGTCAAAGCCAAATAAAGCATGCAAGATGGAATCCCAGATCTTGTAGATTCCAGGACATCCAGCTTCACAAGAAGATGGAAAATGAACAGTAGCTTTCCTCCTATGTCTTGAATTTTGACTCGACCCTTCGGTGGTCAAAAAATCACGACACTTGGATGGATGGGTGGACTTCAACTCCCAGAATTCCCTAGCCACTAGGCCAGGGATGATGATCCAGTGCTGGCTGGGGAATTCTGGAAGCTGAAGTCTATCTATTTTCAAGCTACCAAGGTCAAGAAACACTGACTTGGATCGGGGGGCTCAATCCATGGGCCGCGGACCAGTACCAGTCCATGGCCTGTTGGACGGCCAAGGGTACAAAACTTCATTTGCACATGTGCAGGATCTAGGTGGCATGCACAAAACCACCTCTTCTGTCTCTGTCCCCACCACACCACCGCTGAAGTCAGTGGCGATAGATAGGACGGGGAGCACCGCCTTGGATAATACTCTGAAACCTGCAGTCCAAGAGACTCCATGCTTTGGTTGGGTCTGCTCCCATTTTCACACGTTGCAAAGATAGGGAGAGTAACCCCATCCCCCGCCACTCGCTCCCTTCAATTCTAGACCACTTGCACACATGCCCCAAAGCATGAAAGGTGAAGGAGGCAATTCTCTTTCCCCACCCACCACCACCTCCCACCACCACTTCAACTTCTCCGCTACCTGCATTCGGTGAGATTACAGCAGTAACTGCCACTTCTCCGGCTATTCCGCCGATCGGATCGAAATTCATTCCTGGACTTCCGGAGGCTGAAGTATTCGGTCAGCTTCCCAAAAGACGACATGGCACCAACACAGTCCAACCTTCGGCGTGTGGACATATGCCTGGATCACCCTGGGCGCCCCGTGACGGGCTTACAGCATGTTTGCTTAAGTCCCAAGATGTGTCACCCAACGCTGGCTGTCGAAGAGAGTTGGAGAGAGAGAGAAAGAGAGAGAAACGCAAGGAGTTTTAGCCAGAACAAGCTACAAATCTCCCAGGGATGGATTCTGCAGACTCAAAAGCAACACCCGGGCGATGAGATATTATTAATTAAGGACATCCTCATGGCGCTCCAGAGTTGGGAAAGGAAAAAAGAAAGAAGAAAAAAGCTTTTGGCACTGACAAAATGCATTTCACAGTTCTTGCTCTAAAGAAAAGATTTTGGCACAAAGAGGTGCATTTACATAAGAAAGTGGAGGGGGAGCTGGGTTTAATTAAAATGGAGGCTGGGTGGCTTTTTAGCATGGACCTTATGAAGGAGGAACTACAGTGCAACAGTCAAAGGTGTTTTTTTAAAAAAAAAAAAAAACTGGGTTGAAAGCTGGGAAAGAGAATTTTTTTCCTCTTTTGCAAAATCCACTGGGCCAGGATTTTTCAGAGAAGAATCTGCTGCCTTTAAGAACAGATGAAAGGAAAATACATACGCGCACACACACACACACACAGAAGTCATCATACATACATTAAAACTTTCAAGAGTGTCACATTATTAACCTTTAACCGGGAGGGGTACATTTGGACAAAAAGGAAGAGGGAATATTTGGACCGTGGTGCATTTAATGCACAGTGTAAATATTATGACTGAGAAGGACATGGGTATGAAATGGCAAATGAACCAACTATTCTTTTGCCAACTGTTGTGGGTGCCATATTAAAAATGGAAAACAAACTGCTCTTGGAGCTGCCTCAAGCCACATCTGAGAACGGAGGAGGATTGGGAATCCGTTGTACAATTTCCCCTGAAAACAATTTTACTTTCCGTGTCAACCCTTCATCCATCCGCAAGCAAGACGGCCAGCGTCCAACCTCAACTGCCACCCCCAAAAAAGGAGCACAGCTGCTTTGGAAACCGGGTTGCAAAGGGGAGATTTCCCTGTGGTTTTCTACGAGGCTCCAATGCTATTTGAAGAAACATTCAAAGCAATGGTGGCCAACCCTCTTTCCTTCCTTCTCCCCTTGGGGGGGGGGGACAGGATTCCTCCGAGGTGCCCCCTCCCCTCCAACTAAAAGCCTACATGCACGCCAGGACCCCCTCCCCCCCC